TTTGCAAGTAGATCTGTTGCCATCCCATTAATCAATGTATTAGTATAGGTAATTGTGTTAATGGTTGTAACTGCATTTATAGCAGAAAGAGAAAGAAAAGAAAGCCGGGTTGGAGGGAAGCCTCTAATAAATGACTTCGATAACTGAGCAAACATGAGTCAAGGAAATAGAGAATAGTACTTTGCTTGCTTTATTTGCACATCATCTTATCTTAAAAGTCAGCAAGGTTGAGAAGGGCTATCCCTACACAGAGTTAATGACTTGATAGCATCAGATTTGGAATTGGAAGAAATAAAAATATTAATAGGAGAAAAGAAATACAATTTTCCATCCTTAAGGTAAAAGAAACACTTTAAGAAAGCTTTGAATGTCTTTAAGACACTGCATTTCATCCATATGTAACAGTCTTCGCCTTAAGTCTGATAAAGGTTAACTTCATGGAGCATAGAGGGCACCACTGAATGATCAATTGCTTTAACAGGCAGTCGAGATTCTTGTATGTACAGGTGTCCTTGGGGCTGCTGCCCTCCCTAGAACCCCCTTGCCCAGCTGCAACTGCAAATGTGCATTCTGTGGGCACAGCCAAAGGCACACATACCTTTCTGCAACTGTAAGCAAGACTGGGAATACACCTCTAACTCCTGAGCCCACAGAAACTTAGCAAAGTCACTGCCAGTATTCAGAAACACTCTCACTCTCACAGTCACTAATAGTGCTTGGGAAAAGTTGGGGTCATCTGAAGTGGAGAATTTAGCCTGAAGTGAATTTATAACCCTAAATGGGTTTCTGTACCGGTTAGTAATTTCATTCATCTATGAATAACAATGATCATGTACCCTCCCCAACAAGGAAGTGAATATGCAAGGTTTCATTCTTTCATGTGAAAGAGGCCCAGTCATAGGCAGTCCAGAACTAGTTCGGTGGTTTCACAAAATCTACAGAGACCCAGGGCCCTTCAAGCCCTCTGACCCACCAATCCTAGGTATGAGCCTTGCCCTTGTGGTGCAGAGATGTCCAGGCTGTGCTACTGGGGCTGCAGCAGACATAGGCACATTCTAAGTAGGAGATTGAAGGAAAGGAAGAAACAGGCCATATGTCCATCCTTTAAGGGAGACTTTGTAAGTCCCACACAAAAGCCCCCTTTGCATCTAGCTGTCAGGGAGGTTGAGAAATGTGAACTGGGTAGCAAGGAACTAAGGTAAAAATTAAGTTTCCATTACTAAGGAGAAAGGGGAATATAAATATTGTGTAAATAAATAGCAACTTATGCCATCAGCTCCAAGAAAATGAAAATTCTTCCTTTCCACCAGAGAAAGTGGTAAAAGGGGCAGCACCCCAAAACACACTTACATGACACTGTAGGTCCCACAATTTGGGGAATGTAAGAGCTACTTGGAATACTTGTTAAAGTTCAGAATTCTGGCAAACTCAAGATTCTAATTTAGCAGTCCTGGTGATTATTGTGATTCAGAAGTTGCCAAGGACCACACTTTGGGAAACGCTGCTTTATAGTTTTATTACCATTTGTCAGCCAACTGTCTGTGCTGCTGCCCGAATTGTTATTGATTAACCTTGGTAACAAATTCTGTTCTGTCCCTCTTTAACTCTTTTATTCTCCATAATTAGATCTTGTAAATGGGTTGGACATGCTCCCCAAATGTTGGTTCCATCAGCACAGCAAGATGGAAACAATAATGACAGCTGGATTTTAGCAATGAAATAAGTCCCTTGAAGGCAAGCGGCAGAAGGCTTCCTCAGAAGGAGGTAACCTGGGTTCCAGAGTGGAGCAGCAGAGTCATGCCTTGTGGTGACTCCAATGGCTAGAAGCAGCCAGGGTCAGGCATGACAATCAATCTAACTATGATGATTAATAGCCAGATAGAATCTTTGGAGCTTTATTCCCTTGCCTCTGCTCTGCTTCCTCTTTAACACTCAGGTAAATGTCAGAAAAGGAACTCGGGATTATAGCTGACAAGGGGTAAATGCCTTCATGTTGTCCTCCAAAGGTTAAGGTTTCCCAGACTTAGTTGGAAGCCCCAGTCTCCAATAACCATTAATCCACTCCACACTGGTAGGCATGAGCATATTTATGACTACAGTCACTAAAGGGTGAAATAAAGATTAGTTTTTAGTTAGGAACGCAAAGCTTTTGAGATCAATACAAACACACTGCTGAAATCAATCTAAAGTTTGGAATTTTTAAGTAAAGATTTACTAGGCTTCTTTGTACAGTTAATTTTCCAAAGGGAAAATAAACTCAGAAATGTAACATAGTAATCAAATTGAGTAAACACTAGTCACTCTGCAAACTGACCTTGGTTATGCGCATATCAAGTAAATGTGTAAAGCAATAAAAATGCCCATAATGTGGACCGTAAACTTCCCAATAAACAAGTAAAGCCAAAATACACATATAGATTTACATGATAAGAATACTAGCAGCTACATTCACCTATTTGAAAACATAAATAATCAATAGACATTAATATTGAAGTTATTCATGTGTTTCCCTATTACTGTACATACTGTGTTTCCATTATTTCTGTGTAGTTTGATAGATAAATGTATAGCCACATTTTATGAAACCCTTTAAAAAGAATATAGAATTGTTCTCAAAAGCAAAAGCTACTGTTTGGATGAAAGAGCAAGTGGACTGGAAATACATAGCTTGTTATAGTCTTCTGCTGTTCATGTTTGATGCATGTGTACAATTTATTATGCAATTTATTGAGATTTGACAAAGTAATTGTCTGGCAAACCATAGCTTTAATGATTTTTTCTGTTTCATATGAAAAGACTATAGGTATTTTAGGAAAATGGCTTAATAGATCAGTGTCTATAAGTACTCTTTTGCTTGTTATATATCTGTAGGTTGTGGAGACCGAGATATTTTCAGAGGAGTGTGATTCCATGTAGTAAATTTATTTTCTTCAGCAGAGTAAGTGCATGAAAGCTTACAGGAAGCTATAACTTGCAGAAATTATTTAAGCTACCCTTGGGCCCTTATAGTGGAACTGCATATCTTCTCAGTAGAGAATAGAGAAGAAAAAACACGACAGCACCTCCAATGGGAAGAGGATATTAGAATACAGGCACAGTCTTCAGTTAATGTCACTAGGCTACTGTGATAACAGGTTGATGTTATCTGCAGTTGTTCGAAGGTAGATTTATCAACCACACTCTGACTTTGCAGCTAAGATTCATTTGCCACTGTTTGCTGTCTGGAGGCCGGAGAGGGACTCCTAAAGCTCATTTGCCTAAAGCATATTCTGTCTATTTATCTGGTGCTTTGGGGCAGAGATGTACAGAAATTTGGGTTCAGGAGATTGATGTCCTCTTTGAAATATTTAGAGGGCACAACAAAATATTTTTAGTTGCTTAATGTCAACATCTGCCACCTGGTGCCACACTTTTGAGAAATAATGCTAATATTATTATTTGAGTGAGCCAATAATGCAAATATATGTATATATTCTTAGATCGTAAAATCCACACTGGTCATAGGAGACAGGTAATATATTTTTCTTTATTAACACTATCACATAGATCCTAAAACAACATTTTAGCAGAACATACTCTCCAAGAAAGGGTAATTATTAAGTTTTATGAATTGTCCATATGCAGTAATTATAATACTACATATATGTGTATATGCACATACATAGCAATGTATTCGGGAAATACCTATATATTTGTATGAAACATACATACGATATATGAACACATATATATATAGAATCATAGACACGTACAAATAAAATCACTATATTTGCACCAGGATAGAGAACTTGACCACCTAAATTGTTGTTTAGATGTTTTGACCAATGATACATCACTTTCCTGAATAATTCAGCAAACTTTAAATTATTTTAGTACATTTCATTTTTTATCAGGAGATTCATTGAGCAATCAAAATGATCCACCCTTAAATTCTGAGTGTTGATGATATGTGACAATTGGAATAAGGCAATTTAGAGTGGGGATAGCTAGGTTGCCATCAAGAATCTGTGCAATAACAAGAAAAGCCAGATTAAAGTTATGATACTGGAAGAGTTCCCAGGTTTCTGTAGATTTCAGAATGATATTGAAGTATGTAACAGAGTGTTTGAATGATCAGCTTTTCTAGCACTTCCAGTTCTTCCACTGTACAAATCTCAAAACATTTGTTCTAAAAATCAACATATAAACACAAAAGCCATCTTACATGTAACATTAAATGTTTTATTGAATGAATGGATGAATCAATGGTAAATGCATAGTGAAATCCATCTATGAATCAGCACAACTAGAAAAAACAAGTCCAAATCTCCTATCCCCAGTGGTGACAAGCTAATTTCCTAAGTTGCTTCCAGTAGTAAATTGGACTCTTGGGAGCCACAGTATTCTTCTAGGTCAGTAAGGGAGGAGGTTGTACAAGCAAAAGGAGAAACCCTAAGAGCCCAAGATTCTTAGAAGGAAAACACGGAAAGTATGACTCCAGGAGCTTCAAATTCTTATTTCTCAAGAGAAGATTCCTGGAATGCAAAAAATCTAAAGAAAAATCTATATACAGCCCTACATCTTTGTGTATCAGAGAAATCCATCTATTTCCAAAGCTACTTGTTACAGATTCTATGTGTTGGTAGGATTCTCAAAGAAGCAAACATAGAATAGATACAGGGGCAGACACACATTCTGTGGTGCATAACATTACACATTTTTAAAGCTAACAATATCATAAACATTGCCAAATCCAGGAAAATAATGTAATATTAACTAATTAACTGTGAGATGGATCTCTATAACATTCCTTTCCCTGAAATTTTGGCTTCATACTATTAAAGTAGCAAAATGACAAAGATTTTGTGATACTATTTTCTAGAGGAAAATAAGTAGATCAGTTAATCTTTCTTCTAACATGATTGATCAAAATTTGTTTTCTAAGGCTGAGGCAAGAGGATTGCCTGAGCTCAGGAGTTCAGGACCAGAATGCGAAACATAGAGAGACCCTATCTCTACCCCCACAAAAAAAAAAAAAAAAAAAAAAAAAATCCAGGTATGGTGTCAGACACCTGTTGTCACAATTACTTGGGAGGCCGAGGTGGGAGGATTTCTAAGGCCTGGGAATTCAAGGCAGCAGTTAGTGGTGATCACGTCACTAAACTGCAGCCTACGTGACAGAGAAAGACTGTGTCTCAAAAATTTTTTTTTAATTTTTAATTTTTTTTATTAATAGCTTGGAAAGATTTTTTTTTTAAGCTTCCCAAAGTTTCCCTAGAGTTTCATGTCTTGATGCTGTGTAAGTCAGCATAGTGGGAAGTCAGGATATTTCTGGTAGTCATTCCTATATCAGGGCAGCTTGCAACAACTTAACTGTAGGTGGAGGCAATTGTGAACCACATAAATGCATCCTTCTATATCAATCTAAACCAGATTCCCAAATCAACTTCCCTTTTGCTATGTCTCAAAGTATTCACAACCCCTCCAAATCCATCTGACATGAGGGGAAGTCAGAGTGAAAATAGCACTCTTAGTTGATTACAGTAAAAAAATCTCAGTTTTGCAAATTTTACACATAGCTAGTGCTCCTCCTAGAGCCTTGGAGGGGGCCCATGAGAATGAAGTGCCTTTCCAGTGGAGAATTGCCTAATCACTGAACTGTGGTGTAGTTTTTCTGTGTCCTCTCATAGCTAAGTTGGGAGGCCCAATCCCTCCACTTATTTCAAGGGAATTTACCTAGGCCCTGTTATGAACTGGGATCCCATATTCCATGCACTAATCAGTATTTCAGGAAAATAGAGAGGTTCAGAATATGAACTTTAGAGCTGGAGAGAAAGGACATCAGCAACCACACAATCCCCTTTTCACCTCACAGATGATTAAATAAAATCCAAGGAAACTTAACATGTGGGTAGATTTATTTCTCAGTTGTCTTGTGAATCAAGTATTTAGGGTTCACTAAACCAACATTGAGTGTTTTCCGTGTACAGGGCATTCTCCCATCAAATCCTTACAATGAACTTGTGGGATAAATGAACCCCATTTGACCTTCAAGAGAAGTGAATCTCAGAGAAATTAAGGGTCTTTCTGGCCTTATTTCACACAGTTAGTAAATTGCATAGTTTAAGTCCACATTCTTGCCCACTATGCTATAGCATCTCCAGTCACCTAATGGGTATGATCTCCTCCCACTAAAGATAATATAAATAATAATTCTTTCGCATTGTCTTATTATTTCACAAATTACTTTCACATTTCACAGCTTTCTTAATCTTTACACTATTTCTTAAAATAAATTTTGTAGGAATTAATATTATCCACTTAATGAAAAAACTAAGGTTTAAAGACACTGGGACACACATGTTACCAATAAATGATGAAGGTGAGCCTCAAGTCCATTTTCTTTCTATTCTAGGTCCTATGTTCTTTTCTCCTACTCCCACTGGTCAGTGATCTATTAGAGGAACTGTAGCTACAATCATCCCTCTTAAATAAACTTTCAATGGCTGTCAAGAGCCACGGCCTATAAAAGTAAAATCAGCATAGACTGAGATACCTTTCTTACAGATTTCTCCCAGTAGGTCTGTGTTGAGACCTTTTTCTAAGATTAGAAGATCCTGACACCTCTCTTATCTTATGGAAGATAATGGACTTCAGTTGCAAAGTATTTATTTTCAGAATGTTACACTAAAAGTATCTGAAGTGTAACCCTAGTAAATAATAAAGTTGAAAGTTGTTACTGCAGGATGTGGTTTATTCCTTCATTGCAGTACTTGTTTATAGCCTGTGAGAGCTCAGTGTAGTCTGTGGGCTCATCAGCCCCAAAGTAGGGACACTGTTCTTCCTTCTCATGACTTTCCCATATAAACTGGTTAAGTTAAAATAAAGTTGGCCTATAATGCATCAGGGTTGGAGACGTAAGTATAATCTCATGTTTAGCTTAATTTAAATATAGATGGTTTCACATATATAAACATGTATAGATATGTGGACACATAGAGTTTGTATACACACATATTTCCTTGATCTTAAAGCTCAGAGTATCTAAAAGTAACCACACCCCAGTAGCAATGAGCAGACCCAATGCCCAGATCTTTATTTCCAATGCTATTCTTCAGTAACAGGAAGCAGTGTTCCTTCAAGAAATGAGAAATGGTTGATTCTAAGATAGGAGCATAGAATATACAAGATGAGCCTGCGGTATATTTCTGGGAAAGAAAAAAAGGAGAGAAAGAAAGATGAAAGAAAGAAAGACAGAAAGAAAGATGAAAGAAAGAAAGAGGTGAAAGAAAGAAAGAGGAAGGAAGGAAGGAAATACATGTCCTTTCAAAGCTGCAATAGTTTAATGAGGAAAATAAAGCAGTATTCGATTATAACCCAAAGTATAAAATAAATATCCATGAGTTTGTGTTAATATAAATAAATTAAATAGGTGGGGGTAGGAATGGACAAATTTTTCTTGCAGGGGAATTCCAAGTAATTGATGTAAATTCTCCACTTAGAAGGAACTGAAGAAGTTGTTCGCCACTCAAGAGTGCATAGTGACTTTTTTCCAAGAAGTACAATATGGAAAGAGTGATAAAAAGAAAATTATATCTTATTATGGAGAAACATGACAAACACTAAATCAGCTTGGTGAACAAGTTTAACATCAGCAGTGATGACTCATATTTATCACAAGTATCCCTAATCTTATGTAATGAAGTGAGACTTTACTATGATGTTCCTCCTCCCAAAACCCACCATAATCCCAGTCTAATCATGAGGAGAACATTGGACAACTTCTAGTTCAGGATCATTCTGCAAATTACCTAACCAACACTTCTCAAAATCAAGGTGATCAAAAACAAGAAAAGTCTGAGAAAATGTACAGCCAAAATGAACCTAAGAAAACATAACAACTAAATGTAATGTGGTCTCCTGGATGGGATCCTGAAAACAGAAAAAGAACGTTGCATAAAAACTAAGGCAATCTGAATAAATCTATGCATTCAGCAAATAATGACTCAGCTAATAATGATTAATCAATATTATCCATTAGTTATAACAAATGCATCATACTAATATGTTAGGAAAAACTGGGCACTGGGCATATGAGAATGCTGTATTATCCTCCCAATTTTCCTGTAAATCTAAATATGTTCTAAAATTTAAATGTTTATTTTAAAATTACTCTGAATCTTAGAAAACAACTTAATAAATGTTTATACTAATAATAGTTCTGAAAAATGAAGTTCCATACTGACAGATACCCAAGCTGACAAATACTAATTTTGGGAAACAACAACAACAAATGAACACACAAACACACACAGTTTCACCTTCAAAATTAAGTACTGTCCATATTACCTAATTAAATCATTGTATTTCAGTTTTTCCCAAACATCTACAGTACATATCATTAAATGGACATACAAGATTCAACTGAGAATTTTTACCCATTTTAGAGACTCTGTAGAATTTTGTGCCAATAATATATATATTTCAGGTTTGTGGAGACAGTTTCATTAAAAGCATGTCTCAAAGATGAGAGCTGCAAAGATCTGCATCTTACACAATAACAGTGTTCTTGAAATTCTCTCTGCAAGTATTTAACTTCTTTTGACATTACTGTTACAAAGTCAAGGAAATTAATATGCATAAAAAGGAATAAAAGAAAACAAAATATTCTGGCAGTTGGAATTTAAAACCTTACAGAGGACTTAAATCAGTCCTTATCTTGACCCATGTTTTGCTCTAAGCTCAATTAAGAAGTAAAGACAAAATAAAAAGATTCTGGTGCAGATTTATCATGTTGTATTAGCTGTGGCTACATCTTACTATTTGATTTGGAGAAAATATATCCTTTAGCTACTGGGTTGTATTTAAACAACTAAAAAGAAATACTCACCAGAATTCTTGAATTATTTGTCACTTTAATCAACTCCCCAAATTTATTCAAACTTCCAGACAATATTTCAACAATTACTATATTAACTCAGAATTAGAACAATTTCAACAACTTTACTGGAATACTCTGAAATATAGTATTATAAAATAAATAATAGACACAGTAATAGGATTGGGTATACTGGAGTGAAGTGGAAGAATAAAGAGGATATGGTGATAAACAGATATACAGAACATAAAGGAGGATATGGTAATGAACAGAATAAACAGAACAACAGATAATTTTTTTAAATGGAAAGTTGGAGAGATTTGCACTAATATCAAAGAAGCAGAGAGCAATAATCAATAAAGACCTCAAGATATAAACAGGTTGTCTGTAGAGAGACTAGCACTGCAATCAAGGTGATATATCCTTGTAAAGATAAAATAATATGTGATTAATAAGCATATAGATATTTGACAGAAAAATTTAGATCATGTCTTTCCATTAACTACAAAACTTTCAATGGGCTGTTGAATATTCCAATGTAGCAATACACATATTCCTTTTTAAAAATTGGTAAGAGAAAGAACAAAATTATTGCCACAAATCAAAGAAAAATTTGAGAGTGGAGAAGGTGATTTTAATAATTTACAAATTTGGATAATAACTCTTTATGATAAAGATAGATTGTCTTCCTCATGGAGAGTTTCATACCCTTCTAAAATGAGCATTCAAATATCAAACAAATACTTTCCCACAAACTCCAATCCTTTGAAAACTTTTCATCCATATAAAATAATTTGTGAATATAAGTAATATAATTTCTGCCAATGCACTCAAAATACATTGACATGTTTTACTTCTTGCTTGTATCTGACAACTTCAACAAAGATGACTGGGTACATTCCTATGACCTCCAGCCTCTGGGAAGTTTTCAGGGGGAGAAGAATATGTTCTTCCTTATTCTACTGTTTAACCTTCAATTTATCCTGCAAATCACTAGGAGAGTTCCCAATTATTCTTTGGGGGAACATTGAGTTCACTTCTCCTGAATGCAAGCCTATACAGAAGTTAAATGAAGGAAATGCTCTCTCTCTCTCTTCACATTTGGGAGACTGAGACCTGAATAAAGAAAAGTGATTTGTCTAGAGTTACAGGTAATGTCAGAGACAGAAGCCAATGTGCAACATCCTCTCTCATCTCAGACATTGTTATGAAGGCCTAGTACCAAAAAGCGACTTTTCAGAGTCCTGAATCTATTCAGCAACCTGTTATTAAACCATCATTACTAATAAATATTCTTCGTCTTTAATGTCCAATCGTGTGTATTGGGATGGTTTTCCATTTATCTTGATTCAGAACGATATTAGTGCTGCTTCCTCCTACAGGAACATGTCCTGCTTTTTTTTTTTTTTTTCCTGTAGGCTGGACAGAAGACAGTGGAGCAGCCAACACACAAAACCACCATTGGTGCATGGCTAAAGACCATGGCGATTTTATGGCATCTTGAACATTTATACCCACAAAGTAGGAACTGGAGCTCTGCGTCAGGCACTTCTTGTGTTTCCTCTCCTCCTTTTCTGAAAAAGGATAAAGAATTTCCTTTACAAGAGGCATATTCTCATACGGAGATCATAACTGCCAGAAAAGCTAAATATCCTTAATTTTAAAAAATTTTAATTACCCAAGACATGCATGAAACACCAATGTACCCCAGAGAGAAAGGTGTGATGGTTTTTAAAACTACAGGTAAACAAAATATATAGACATACAATATCTAGAGAGCAAAGCCAAAAATAGTGGTACTCTCATTAAAGTGACCAGTTGCCTCATGAATAGCCTCATGAATGCTTACAACCCTAAAAAAAGTAGATGTACTCTTTTCATCATCCAATATTTGTCGAGCACTAGGCATAATCTGTAGAAAAGGGGGAAAAAAGGAAAACTAAGAAGAGAATTCTCTAGCTACAGCTGTCTACCTTCTATTTAACAAATGTTAAATAAAGCACTCACTATGTTTCTGGTACTGTTTTAAGGACTTTACAGATATTTACAAAAATTTAAGCACCATAAGATCCATTGAGATAGGTGCTATAATTATCCTATTTTCAAATGAAGAAACCAGGCATAGGAAGGTTACTCGCCCAATGTCACACCAATGGAAAGTGGCAGAACAAAGATTCCATTCTAGGGGATCTGCTTCAAGAATTCATGCCCAGAATTGCAGTTCTGTGCTACCTTTGTTGAGTGGCACTTTGTGGAGTTACTATTAAAGCAACTACTCTCTTCAAAGTTTTAGAGAGCTTTGCTGGGTGATGGTGGCTATAGGTAAAAAATTTGGAGAAAGTACTTACTAAAGTCCCATCAAGCTCCTAGCTATGGGCTATGAGCAATAATTTCACAGAAGTATAAAGATTTTATTAATTTTAAGACAGTAGATCAGTATAATCCAGAGATTGACTAATACGAGTTTAGTCAAATACCTGACACAGTCTGACTGTTAAATTCTTCAATTATTTTTTCTTCTCTTTCTCTGATAATATTTGAAAATTCACCTTTAATAGTCCATTAACATATCTATTGAATAACTGCTATGGGCAAGACACAAATCTATGTACTATGGGAGATTTTTACCAGACAGAGAACTTTTTCTCCCATGGATGCTTACAATCTAGTTAACATGATAACAGATTTCCCTAAATAAGCAATTAACAAAGCAGTAAATAATAAATGTTGAAAGAGTGTTACAGATAATAAGTACTATGAGGAATTTAGAGACCTGCTTCTTTCTGCTCCAGTAATTCCTTATACATACCCTTATCAGAGCAATTAACAAGGATAATCATTCACTTGCTGAAGATAATTTACCTGCTGTCTCTTCTATTAGAATGTAAGCCTCTTGAGGACAAGAATGCCGTTTTATTCATCATTGTTTCCTTGATGTTTAGCACAGTATTTGGTATTCAATAAATACTTAATATGTACTTGATGAATGAATGAATGCATGAATAAATAAATAAATGTTTTTTAGAGGCAGGCATTTCTTTTGTGGCCAGTACAGTGTAATGGTAAATCTCTGGAGTCAGGCTGTGTTGGTTTGAACCTAACCACAACCTTTGAAAAGTGTGTGATTCTGAAAAGTTTACCTGATTTCTCTCCATTGCATTTTGCTCATTAGTAAAATGGTAATAATAGTACCTTTTGTCATCAGCTAATTTGGCTATGGAACAAGTCACCCCAAAAGCTAATGACTTGAAACAGCAGCCATTGATCTAGCTCATGGTTCTGTGGATCTGTCATTTGGAGTATTTTGGTTCTCCTGTCTCAGCTGGGCTCATTCATGCATCTGAGTTCAGCTATCAGGCAATCTGGGGGACGTCTTGTCCACACGGTGTGTCATCTTCTACCTGACTAGCCTGGGTTTCATCACATGGCATATGACAGGGCTCTAAGTGGGAGAGCTGAAACATACAAGGCCTCTTGAAGCTTAGACTCAGACTTGGCACAAGGTCACTTCTGGCACATTCCATCAGTCAAAGCAAGTTACATGGTCAGCTCACATTCAAGGATTGGGTAAGTCGATTCTACTCTTGATGAGAGGAGCAGCAAAGTCACATTATAATGTGGTATGTATGCCAGGAAGGGTGGAAACTTTTTCAGTCTGCCATACTCTTTCAAAAGATTAGCAAGAGGATTAAGGAAATAAAACATCTAAAGGATTTAGAACAGTGTCCACCATGAAGTAATAAACTCAATAAGTAGTATCCATTATTATTCTGTTAGAGGTTGCCAGGAAAAGTTACATAGTGGAAAGAAATCTGAGTTTACTCTTGAGAGATAAGTGGGATTTCTATGTGTGGAGAATGAAGGCCTTTCAAAAAGACACAGCCTAATAATAGATGCTGTGGTTTAAGAGTGGTGCATGTCTGGAACAGGCTGCCCAGGGGAGCTAGAGCTAAATACTGGGAACCTGGAATGCTGGCCACAGAGTTGGGCTTAACAGCAGAGTAATAGCAAACCATTGACTTTTGCCTAAATGTTAGCCAATAGCACCATTTCTTATTGTTATTTCAGATTTTGTGTTGTTTAATAAGCCTCTCAGTGCTGATGGCTTTGTGATATCTTTGGCCTCGTCTACTCAAGATTTGAAATCTGTGAGTTGTGCCTGGGTTTTGCCACTCCCTAACTTTCAAGGAGCCACGTGATCCTTCTTTACTCAATTTTATTCCATGTGTAAAATGGAATAATTTCTTTCTTTATCCATCCATTCTACAGTGATGGTAATCTTAAACGTCATATCACATTGAAGTAGTGTTTACTACCCAAATGACACAGGTCATACCAGGCGCCGATGTTTATGCAATCTGGTGATAACTCATAAATCCTAAGCAGAAAAGTCAAGAATGAGGAAAATAACATTTTAGTGTGGCTGCCCCTATATGTTAAGCAGCAAAACATTTCTAGAACTGCTCTAAAGATAATCTTCGGTTCCTCCAGTCCAGTGAGATGATCCTGAGCAACTGGAGCCACTGATAGGCCTGGATCTCTGCCACCTTGAAGGCTGACCAGACAGCTAGAAGCTAATGGCAGCTCTAGTAGACTGCTCAGTGGCCATAGTTTCAGAATCTTTCCATTGTACATGGTTTAAATGCAAATTCACTAATGAATAATTTTGATAATTCTATCGAAGTCTGAAGACGGCTTGCATTAGACGACTACACGACCATATTTAATTTTTTTAAAAAAGACAATTCTGGCTCCACTTATGCCACGTGAAATCCACCCTGCTCAGTGCTCCTGACTAGTCACGTCCTTCCTGCCATTTTAAAAACAATAGTGGCAGAGATGCAAGCTGCTGATAGTGCTCAGCAGGACAGATCAAACACACAGATGCAATTTCTGTATGTTGAACGGTGAAGTAGGATAAAATTCAAATACTTACAATCGCTTAGTAGCTAGCATCTGATTGCTGCAAATTGAATCTTTCATAATGAGATTTATTGTAAATAGTGTCATCTAATTTGTGAGTTCTGCAATAATTTCAGTCAAAGCCAGTATAAGATACTGGAGGTGTGAGATTTACATGACATATAGGCTACTTTATGCACAGATTATCAAGGGACTTTTTGTTACCAATATTCTTGTTTAATTGCTAACAAAATAACCAGAATTGTATTTTTTCTGAAATTTAAAACATTATCAGATAACTTAACCTTAGAATGCAGAAGAAAATGTTTTTATCCGCTTCATTTCAACAGCAGTTTTAGAATCGCTAGCTCCAAACCCCTCTCTTCCCCTTCCACCCTAGTTGTTAAATAAGCATTAAAATTATAGGTAGTTAAAATTTTTGAAATGTGTCTTTTATCTGGTTTGGAAGCAATAAAGAGCCTGGTAATCATAATTAGTGACCAATATATCCTGTCCACAAAAAAATAAAATAGAAATTTGAGACTATGCTATTTTGAGGCCTACAAACATACTTTAATTCTTTCATGATAAAAGAAGAAAGTGACCATAATTTAAGTGATCAATAGTATTTTGCCTTTGGGCTTAGTTCCAAATACTTCATGAGTTCATAAAAGATCAACATCAAAAGCATAATATAAAAATTGCACTTTATACGTATGAGAGTTTTGTAACACTCTACATACTTGGTAGCTTTGATTGCTAGTGACACAGAGCTCCAAAAAGGTGCTTAGAGTCACATGATCTTCCTCTTCAACACCCAAAGAAGGTAAATTCGAAAATAAAAATAAAAACAAATAATAGAGCCAGAAGAATTGGATAATCTGTTCTCCCCCCCACCACCCTAAAGAACAACAATAGTAAAATTCTTTTCTGATTTAATCATGTAGTGGGGCATTTCCATTATAAACATAAATGTGAGAATGCAGCATCTCAGCAGGATCTGAATACAGAAATCTTACTCTCAGATAATCTAGGACCTTGACAAAAAAAAGGTGGGCTTTTGTGAGGGTTAAATGCTTCAGTTTGATCCTTCTTAATTTATTTGAGAGTGAATAGCCCATGTGCATGTTAATGTTATCATTGTAAATGGGGAATCCCTATTTCTGAAGCTCAGAATCTTTAGTTTTCCCCCCTTTCCTAAGCAGGTGTCTTTCCATCTCTCACAAATCAAAGAGGATGATGGGGGTGTGAATAGACACTTGCAGTGGTGCCCTAATACAGATTTTTAATAAGTTTACTAATCAGAGCACATATAAATTAGGATAAATCATATTCATATATTTAATAGCAAACAAAGCTCAATGTAGCTCATATCCAGCTTCCTTCATGTTCATTTTACTCAAGGACATACCTTTCTTTTTCTGCTTCTTTTTTTCTTTCTTTCTTGGACACCTCCAACCCCCATTGACAACTGAAATGCAGGGCTATAAATGTAAGGGTGCAATACATCATGAGATAAGTCTGGAGAACATGTCCTCTACCAAAATGCACATGAATCTCTGCTACAGCTAAAATTCCAGAAACATGCTGTGGGGTTCCTTTTACATGCTAAGCAGGGTCAAAAATGTGAGCACGATGTGGTTGCCCTTATATATCAGATGAGCTCCAAAGTTGAAAGGTTACATTTGTGAATTGCAGCCGGGTTTCCTAGCACTTGATTCTAGCTTCTGCAAATCAAACACTCCTAATTGAAATACTAATCCAACAATATTATAATCTTTCAATAAAAAAATGTGACTTCTGCAACCTTATCTGTCGAAAAGCTGACAGAGAAGTTCAGAGGCAGTTGTTTAACCAGACAAAATGATAGAGAAAATATGTTTTCAAATAAGATCATAAAGCTTGAATACTGTTTTATGAGAAGCAAATGTAAAGCAAAGGGCTGTCCTCTATTCTACCGGCTCTACTTCCCCCACCCTGGTGTGTTTCCTCAGCCACTCACCTTTAAGGCAAGGGCTACTGTCTTCCAAGTCAGACTCAAACCCCAAATACCCAAACAGAATAAAGTGGTATCTTAGCACACTTTGAGATCAGACTGTTTCTGCATTTCATAGTGTTGGGGGGTGTGGGGGGAAGGGAAAGCAGCATACCAATGTAGTGAAATCTGGAAACAACAGCATATATACAGACACAAAAAAAAGTTTGCATATTGCACAGAGCGCTTGAAGATCATAAATCTATGCATGAGAAAGATGTAGTGGAAATTTTGGGGGGGATTAGAGTTTATTTTTGTCATCTCTGTGAGACAGCTACTCATTCATCCAGATCACAGCTAAGAAAAAAGCTGGTCACAGAAATTAGCAGTTTCAGCTCAGCAGCGAAGTCGCCAGCCTGTGAAGGCAGAGAGAAATTGACTAATTAGCAATGCGCACTAAAACTTGACGGTTCTTTATAGAGAGAGAGAAGAGAGAGGGAGAGAGAGGGAGAGGGAGGGAAGGGGGGCTCGCTTTTTCCCCTTCTTTCTTCCAAAGATGTTTGAAATCGCAGTCATTTACGCTCGACAATTTTTACAATAGCCTTGAGCCATAATTTTGCGAGTCTCTCCAGCATCCATCCCCCTGTATGGTCTCTCTCTACTGGCCAAGCACGACCGTTTCTCTCCCCAACCGTGGATTTCCTATTACTCTCGTTACGACTCACTGAGCCCCAGGCCCAAGGATAATGATGTGTTGTTTCTTGGTAGCATAATTTGTCACACGTACATTTTTTCTTCTTCTTCTCTTGCAGAAAGCTCTGCTCCCTCTCTCTCTCCCTCTCTCTCTCCCTCTCTCTCTCTCCCTTTCTCTTTCTCTCTTTTCTCCTTCTCCTACATTTTCTTGCTGTTGCTAATTCATGGTGATCAAATGATGTACGACAAAAATAAATTGTAAAGAGTGACTGCCTGGAGTTGGGAACCAGAAGGTGTTTTTCCCCCTCCCAAGGAGAGAGCAAACCTTTAAAAAGGAAGGACAATTGATTTTTGGGGGGAGCTTAAGTGAGCCTTGACTTTGCAGCTGGTTGAGAGCAGGTAAGTTTCTGGCCTTGTGTATGCCTTGTGTGTATTTTGTTCTGTCTTCTGGATTGTTGGAGGGGGAAGGGCCGGGGAGGGAGTCTTTCAAAGGGGTTGGGGGGGTAGTTGAGTGGCAAACGCTCATAAAAAATAAAACTCCTATTGCAAGAAATAAGCAGATGAGGAGGAAAGGCAAGGGAGGAGAACAAGAAGGAAGGGGAATAGGAAAAGATGGGGGGGCGGGGGGACAACGAAGCGGAGAGAGGTAGAGAGAGGTATGACCGGGTCCTCTTAAAGGGAGAGAGACTCTGTAAGATGTTTCAGGCAAGCCAGAGCTTTGGGGGAGGGCGTGGGGGGTGCTGCCGGGGAAGGGAGCGCGAGGGAGGGTAGGGTCCACCTGGAACAGGATGGTAAAGTGAGTCGAAAGGAGCCCAGTCCGGTATAAATAGGAAGCCGGCGATCCAGGACTGGCGCCAGGCAGGGCAGAGTGAGCCGCAGTGGAAGGGGCAGGTCCGGCGGGATCCCTCTGAGCCGGGCGGCGGCGGCTCTCCCCGGCGGGCGGGCGGGCGCGCGTGCGGGATGAGAGCAGAGGGTCCCTTTCTGCTCAGCCCTGGAAGGTGCAATTACAGGTTAAGGACCAGGCGTATCGATTTCGCCTCGCCTCCCCCGCCCTGCCCTCCTCCGCCTAGATGCGGGCGCCTCAGACTTTTTACAGAAGTAGTTCCAGGGCCGGGGGAGTGGGGGTGCCCGAGTGGGGGGGCCGCTGGAGGCTCTATCGAGGGGGTCGGAAGGGAGCTGCGGCTGCCAGCGACGACGCTAGATGGGGCGCAGAGACCCTGCACCCCACTGCGCGCGCCCCCACCGCCTCCTTCCACAGCCCCCACCCCTCCCCCAATACCTGCCTTCGAACTTGAACTTCTTATAGTTACTGGAGTTAAAGAGACTGTGACTGGTGCCCGGGAGGGAGAAGCCTCCCTCGCTCTCGGATCCCGCTCCAAACACGCCCTAGCAGCCCCACTTCCTCCCCTGGGTCCTCGGTGCCTCCCCGCGCTGGAAGGGGAGATAGATGTCTGAACTTCCGCGCTTTGAAATGAGGGAGACCCGGGAGAGGGGGCCTCCGGGTGGGGGTGGGGGTAGTGGAAGGATTCTCCTGCCAGGTTTAAAGGCGTCTCTGGAAAATTAGCCAAACTGAGTGGTGACGGGGAAGCCAACAGTTTGCGAAGCAGGGAAGCGGGCAGGGCCCAGCTGAGGGAAATGAGCTCGAATTGATAAGGACAGCTCCCGCCTCTGCCGAGTCCACTGAGCGGGTCCGCACCGCGCTCCGCTGCACTTTCCCGGGAGAAGAAAGGGCTTTATCTCCTCCCTCAGACTATTAGCCTAGGAGTTTCTCGGGGCAGCAGGGATAATCGAAGGGGGTCCCAGTTTTTGGAGAGCTAAGATTCGCCCATCCCGCACGCTTATCGGGCCCCCGTTCCTACCCCCTTCCCCAAACTGGGCCAATCGCGAAAAGCAAAGCTTCTGGCACAAGTTGACCTGGAACCTTCGCCGTCGGTCGCCTCGAGCTTTCAGGGCACCTCCGGCTCCCCACTCCCCGGCCTTTCCCTTCATCCGGCCCGGCATGGACACGAGCCCACGAGGTGCCTCGGCCTCAGCCGCCACTTTGCCGTCGCTGCTGCCACTACTGTTGCTGCCAAGAGCCGAGCTGAGGTGGTTTTAGGAAAGTGAGGGACGAAGTGTGTGGGAGGTGGCGAGTGGAGTCGCAGGGAGCAGAACCGGCGCCGGGACCCCGGACTGGGCCCTTCCGGTGGCGCTCACGGATCCAGCGTCTTCGGACCTTCCTCCGAGGGTCGGGTCTGGAGCGCGCCGGAGGGAGCCTAGTAGAGCCTTGATTCTCGTTCTCCGCCCTCCCCTCCCCTCCACACCCTTCCCCACCCACCCCGACCACACCCCACCCCCTCCACCACCCTGCTCCCCTCCCTCCCATCCCCCACCCCTGTCTGCCAGGTTGGAGGAGGATTTAAAGCCAGGTGCACCGAGTCAGCTCGCCATGTCCAGATCCGGGGACAGGACCTCCACCTTCGACCCCAGCCACAGCGACAACCTGCTGCACGGCCTCAACCTGCTGTGGAGGAAGCAGCTGTTTTGCGACGTGACCCTGACGGCCCAGGGCCAGCAGTTCCACTGCCATAAGGCCGTGCTGGCCTCCTGCTCGCAGTACTTCCGATCGCTCTTCTCCAGCCACCCCCCTCTCGGGGGAGGGGTCGGCGGCCAGGACGGCCTGGGGGCCCCCAAGGACCAGCAGCAGCCGCCGCCGCAGCAGCAGCAGCAGCCGTCACAGCAGCAGCAGCCGCCGCCGCAGGAGGAGCCCGGGACTCCTTCCTCCTCCCCCGACGACAAGCTGCTGACCAGCCCCCGGGCTATCAACAACCTGGTGCTGCAGGGCTGCTCGTCCATCGGGCTGCGCCTGGTGCTCGAGTACCTCTACACGGCCAACGTGACCCTGTCCCTGGACACGGTGGAGGAGGTGCTGTCGGTCAGCAAGATCCTGCACATCCCCCAGGTCACCAAGCTCTGCGTGCAGTTCCTCAACGACCAGATCTCGGTGCAGAACTACAAGCAGGTGTGCAAGATCGCCGCGCTGCACGGCCTGGAGGAGACCAAGAAGCTGGCCAACAAGTACCTTGTGGAGGATGTGCTGCTGCTCAACTTCGAGGAGATGCGCGCCCTGCTGGACTCGCTGCCGCCCCCCGTGGAGTCGGAGCTGGCGCTCTTCCAGATGTCCGTGCTGTGGCTGGAGCACGACCGCGAGACCCGCATGCAATACGCGCCTGACCTCATGAAGCGCCTCCGCTTCGCGCTTATCCCGGCCCCTGAGCTGGTGGAGCGGGTCCAGTCAGTGGATTTCATGAGAACCGACCCGGTCTGCCAGAAGCTGCTGCTGGACGCCATGAACTACCACCTGATGCCCTTCAGGCAGCACTGCAGGCAGAGCCTGGCCAGCAGGTAGGAGACAATAAAGAGGAGGGCGGGGTGGGGGGGAGAGCCAGAGAGGCCAGAGGGAGAGGAGGGGGCAGGGAGGAGGGGAAAGATGGGTGGGCTGGTCTGGAGGCTCTGGCAGAATGAAAACAAACGCAAACAATTCAGAGTGTGTGGGGAAAGTTGACTTCAGAGTCCCTGAAAGGTCAATAGGAAACTGGCCTAGTAGCATCCCTGAGCGCTCCAAAGCCCGGGTTCTAGATATCCCCAGAGCCCTAAACATGGGAGCTGTGGACTCAGACTGAAATTGACAGGCAGGTGGGGACAAAGGCCAGGACAGCTAGAAGTGTAGCTTTGGAAGTCTCTCCAAGCCAGCCCTTTCTACAAATCTCAAGATGGGCTTGCTCAAGAAAAAGAATCTTGTGGTGAGGAATGCCCACCCCACCCCTCCTCAGTTCTGCCTTGGGTGAGCAGAAGAGCCCAGGTGATGCCTGCAAAGGAAGGCTTGCATGGTCTTGCTGTAACACACTCAAGTTTTTTCTTCACGACTGGGATCTGCTCAGTGGATGAGCAGAGCTTCAAAATGCTTTGTCTATTAGAGTCACTTTTGGAAAGGCTGGTATGGTGTGCCCAGGCAAACTTTTCTATGTTGTGGAAAGCCTTTCCTTTTCACTTTTAAAGAAAAGTAAAGCAAGAGATTTCAGGGGTGATGGGGTGAATCTTGCCTAGCAACTCCCATTTCAGAGAGGAGTGCAGTTGAAAATTGAGATGGGGGAATGGAGAGGCTTCTAGCTCCAGTTGGTCTGTGTGCCTGCTCACCAGTGACAAAGAAGTTGGGGAGTTGTTGCTGCTTCTGTTGATGCTAGTTAGAAATGTGGCTGTGTGTGTTGCAAGTAGGATTTCAGGGGAGAGAGAAATGATGCCTTTTAAAAATGCTGCTGAGGTAAAAAGGCTGTAGGAATTGACAATCGTGTTTTATTGGCTCCGATTTTAAAACCATTTTTAATGAGCCCTAGCAAAGGGTTTCTTTCTCTTTTTAGAAAAGAGAAACAGTATCCTCTCTGTTTCTCATGATAAAACATCATGATTCCGGATGCCCAGCTACTCCAGCCTAACCACCAAAGTGTTACATTAGCAGAGTACATGGTTTGAAAACCTGGCAGGGCATTTTCCCATTCAGAATGATATCTAAAGGATGGGGTCCACCTTGCACAGCATTATAGAATTAAATTGTGTGTGTGTGCGCACGTGTATGTATGTGTGTGTGTATTTTCCATTATGTTTCCACCAGACCTAGGTAAATAAAGTTTCAAGAAATGGAAGATATTCTCTACACTTTTTTTAGGCAGCCCTAGTGTTACGGAGAGGCCAACAGAATGCATGAGAAAACTTGAACTTGTAATAAAACCCTGTAAGTTGATTTTTCTAACATCTGTTGGAGATGAGTTAATGAATCGTGGTGTCAAAAATAATATTAGGACAATAGAAGAAACAAGAATCTAAATCCCCGTGTGCTTTAACAGGGAACACAAGAGGCCAATGAGGAAAAAAAATGAAATGTATTTTCATTTTATTGGAATTTTTCATTTATCTAAAGATCAAAATGGCAAACTCAGTGTGATGGGCAGTGGGCATTGGTGATTAGTATTCAGTCATTTAAATTTTTATCACTTTTAAATGACCTACAAGTATACTTCATTTAGCATATATCGTACATAGTCAATAATTCAGACAACATAGTTGTGGTCCTGAATATACATTACTCATACTTTTGAAAATATGTATAATCTAGTATAAATTCAGAAACCCAAAGGGATAATAAAATTAAGATTTAACTTATTCTAAGAGTAATTTTGGCAGATGAGCTTTATAAATTTGATCCAGTAAATAATTTCTGAAGCCCTCAATGCAGTTTTATCTAATAGGTATGTCTTAAGATTTGATGTTAGAAGAGTTGACTTTCAAAATGCAAAATCCATTTCCCACTTTAGTCTAGATTCAGCACACCAGCTAGGGCCTGCTGGCTGTGTCCTGGTGGATGGCTGAGATACCAGGCTGCCTGGCTCCATGACGACACCTTCCAGCTTCACTGGGCCACATCATTTGAAGGATATGTAGTGGTGTCTGACCACTAAATGCTTACAAGTGTCATGGATGCTGCAAAAATCTGATACTTCTGCAGTAGGAAGAAAACTGTATTTCATTTTAAAAGAGGAAGATATAGAAAAGAAAATAGTTCATGAGAACCAATCATTGACCTCAACATAATATAATTTAGGTTTTATTCCATTATTAGTAAATGTAGCATTTTGGATTTTACAGACTAATTACATTATTCTAATTTTAATTCACAGGAAGAATGCCAAAATAATCATGAAGTTCCTAACTTTAAAGTAGACAAAAATGCTGTAAGTTGCAACCAACAGTATTAAATCAGCCCATTTATTATGGCATCAGTGTAACATAAAAATATTTCCTCAGCCTTACATGTAGTTTAACAGGGGGATAAATGTGTTAACCAATTGTTTTTGAGATTACATCACTTTTACTGAAGACAATTGAATAGAAAGACTTGTGTTTATTACCTTCTATCCACCTGTGGTTTTTAAACTATAAATATAAAAGAGTTTCTTACATTCAGAGAGGGAGATGAAAAATTAAAATTGACCAGTCTTTTGGAATAAGTACAAGGTATGAGAAAATAGAAAACTTCGAAAGAGAATTTACTTGTTTAAGAATATATGTTATCTATAGAAAATAGAGAGATTAATATAATCATAATTTAAACAATTTAAGGATTATTAAATAATTTCAAATCTTTGTTAAGTCTAGAAAAGTAAAGGAACCCAAGCATAAAATCTTTATACAAATCCTCAAGTTAATTTAAAGTGTTCCCTCTTGTTGCTTGGTTCTTCTGAGTATACCAGTTGCACTCAAATTCATATTCCATTTTATCAAACTAAACACAAGGACAATGAGTAAAATAAGAAACTTATCACTCTGTATTCAAATATACACATAAGTAATTTCAGATGACAAGACTTGACAAAGGATGTAAAGTTTCAGTCAGACAGGAAGAATAAATTTTAGTGATCTATTGCAGCACCAAGGTGACCACAGTTAGTAAAAAAAAAAAGGTTGTATATTTCAAAATTGCTAAAAAAGTAGATTTGAAACATTCTCAACATTAAAAATGGTAGGAAGGTGAAGTGATGGATTATTAAATCATCTTGATTTAATCTATCTACAAGTCAATATCAAAATCATCTAAAGCACAAAAATTTAATTTCATAAGGTGACATATGCAGTGTTTAGTACATTAAATGTAAGTAACAGAAGACCTGTAGTCTAAATTTAGCTAAAGCAACCCAAATTCTTTCTCTTTTTTCATTTTGAAATGTTAATGAATAATTTAGCAGTTATCCCAAATAAATCAAATTAGACTAGATATTAACTAGATAAAATTAACTAATGTTTTACATTTTCATTGCACCTCACACAAGGTAACAAATAAATAGTTATTAAAAGTTGAATGAATTAAGATTATGAAATAAGAAGGGCTCACTGTTGTACTTCATCAATACATTAATCTCTATTACTACTACACGTAACAAAAGTTTGCTGAACCTTCTCCAAGAAAACACCTTTAATAGAAATACATTCATAAAAGTAATCATGTTTTTTAAACATTTAAC